TGGATTTAGGGTTTAGGGTTTAGAGTCTAAACTCCTGAAAGGGAGTTATATAGGAGGTTATATAGGGGAGTATTAGTCTTGAAAGGTTTGAGGTTGAGGGCTCGGGCTTTCAGGTAGAGGACCTAGACCTTGAATGTTGAGCCTCTTGCTTTGGGTTCAATGTTTTTGGGGTGTGAGGTTGGCTATAGGTGACTATGAAGGGCGGGCCACTTTGGTCAAGAAAAGGGGGCTGCCGCAACAGTCTAAGGCTAAAGCCCAGGCAGTAGGGTTCTGTCAGATGATCTGCAGTTCATGGTAGGCACCCTTCCCTGGCTTCGAACCCTAAACCCTAAACCCAAACCCTAAACCCCCTACCTTTTGCTAATCCCTACTTTTAGCAGGAGTGTTTTACGGCTTCTGCAAGGCAAACGCAACGGGATTTGGCAAATACACATACGTAATGTCAGCATCAAGTAGGCTCCTCCTGAGCTGAGCTACGAGATTGTTGATGTGAGCTATAGTCTAAACTCCTTAAAGGGGGTTACAGAGGGGATTATACAGGGGACTATAATGGGGATTATTAAGGGGGATACTAGGAGTTTAGACAACCACCCATGTGAGCTTGATTACTAAGTACCCCCAAAAAGGGGTTTAAGCTGTCTAATACTATAATCTGCCTGGTTTTTGATACCTTGAAGGCCCAATGTTTGGATACCTGGACCCTCAGCATGGGAGCATGGGAGTCCTTCGCCCTTTGGCACTCAGTTGTTTTGTGCTGACAGGTATAGCAGCCAAGCTGGCAGGGCTGTTGTTGCAATGTCACTGGAGCAGGCAAAAAAGGCACATGGAAAGACTGACATCTGCAATTTAATGGCCCTCTGGGTTATATAGGTATAATGGGAAAGAAAATGGAAACAACTACAATGGGGTCATATAGGGTTTGCCCAAGCATCATAGGACTATTGGGAGGATGGTACCTTTTCAGCATGTCAAAACGAATTCGGCTCAAGAGGGTCTATGCGCAGGTTCAATCGCAGTAAATGGAGCTGTTTACCGTGGTTGGGCCCTTTATCGTCTACCAGAAGATCGAACGGAGCAAGAGGGGTTTCTGAACACGATGGGCCCATTATCGAGCAAGTCTGTTGCCCTTACCCGAATAACAGCTATGTTGCGCACTACTTGCGATAACGTCTTTAGTGTTTGGTACTATTTGCGCGGCACTTAGACCTGTCAAGTTGGAGAGCAGCATCCATGGAGCAGTGCCCTTGGGCTGATGCAAGCAGCGCCGCTCCGTGACGACCTGACGAACCGTCCCCAGAAAGTGCTCACCAGCCGCATCTAGGCTCGTACGCCTGCGCTTCCAAGAATCGAATAGATTGTAATTAGTTAGTTGTAAAGACGTTCCCATGTAGATAGAGCGTTGAGCTGCACTTTCAGGATGCTTGTAGAAGGGTGCTCTGTATGGTTGCGCTGGAATACTGGAAGATCCTGGATACTTCGGGTGTACTTCAGGCTTATCCCTGGGAACTTTCACTAAAATAACATACATCCATGGAGCTTTTCTTTGGGTTTCCTAGAGTTTTCAACGCCGACGTATCAGACAGAAATTTCTGGTCGTAGCTTCCAACACGGCCGAGGCATCAGCGCTTGCAGAAGGCACAAAGAATGGCAATTGGCTCTAAACTTACTGGGGGAAGCGGAGAGAACGTTTGTGCAGCTCAACATCATCACCTACAACGCAGCCATTACGGTGTGTGAAGGAGCGGAGGAGTGGCAACATGCAGCTCCCCCAGTCAAGCAGCGATGTAATCTGCGTTATATTTAAAATCACTATGCCTCAAAACACGGAAGGTCCTCTACACTCCCTGCTATCGGAAGCTTTGACGTCGTCTTGAGAAACGCCCAAACTGTGATTCTTAACGTTGACCCTGTACGCAGAGTGCACCGCTCTTAGGCCATCTCCCTCTTTGAGGCAGCGGGAAGGCAACATGTGGAATTAGACGTCGTCCAGGCTGCATTCAGACGGCTTTAGGCCTCTCAATACGTTGGATGCCAAAAATCATGCATGACCCTAAGTACCTTATACCCTGGATCGCATACCAATGTCATGCAAGATTTTTCAGTATCAACAGGAGTTCTCCTATGTTGTAGTTCAAAAAGTTTCTGTTTACTTCCACAACTCACTTTCACAATATGAAATATCGATTTGGGATTGCCTTTTCATTGCAGAGCAGGGACTCAGGTCATAACATACAATTCCACCGTGTGCGCTTGCGCAAGGTGGGGGTTTTCTGAAAATCATGGGTTCTGTCTGGGCCGCCAAGTCCAAAGAGGTTTCTAGTTACTTTGTTTGGGACGCCTGTCTTCGTCTTGTTTCCAATTACTTATAATCCAACGACACCCGTCTCCAGCAATTGAGCCCTTTGCGCGGACACCTCGAACCCTGCACCTGAGACCTTGAAGCAGAACCTTAAACCCGCTAAGCCTAAACCCTAAGCCCTAAACCTTGAACGCAAACCCTGAAATCTTAAAGCAGAACCCTAAATGCACTAAGCCTAAGCCCCAATCAAGAAACCCCCGAGCTTTGAATTTTACGCCTAAACCCTAAACCGGGTTTAGGGTGTAGGGGTTTAGGGTTTAGGGGTACTATCAGGGTACCAGATGTTGTATATAGAAGTTACTGGACACGTAGTTAGATACCCCCATAAGGGGTAGGGCATAAGGGTCTCTACCCTAAACCCTGCACCGTAAGACCTAGACCCTAAAACCTTGAAAACAGGTGTTGCAAAAAAAGCTAAAACCCTAAACACTAAAACCTTTACCCTAAAACCCTAAGACCCCAGAACCCTAGAACCCTAAACGCTAAAGCCCTAGAACCCTAAACCCTAAAACCCTAGACCCTGAAAAGATAGCCCCTGACTAGGTCCACGGAGTGGCGCCAAGCCTTGGATTTCTTGGGCCTTGCCAAGGTGCAACTCAAGACGGAAGCCTGGGTTCGTGTTACCGGTTAAGGGGTTTAGGGTGTAGGGGTTTAGGGGTTTATGGGGTTTGGGGTTTAGGGGTTTAGGGTTTAGGATGAACCATGAAACTGAAGCCTAGGGCTTCAGTTGCCTAAACAGTAGGTTACTGGGCTATGTAACTATGGGGAAAATAGAACCTAGAACCCATTATTTAGGGAACTGGAGCCCTAGGGGAAACTACTATGCATAGTACCTCAGTGTACAATGTTTAGGGTTTAGAGCATTGGGTTGATGTTGGGTTTAGGATCTTCTGTCGGGTTTAGGTTTACCCAAGTAACCCAAATTGAAACTACTACAATGGGTTATATAGGGAGTATGGTGTATATATTGGGGCTATATAGGGATAATGGAAAGGAACATGGAAACTATTAAGCTGTAAGACCCCAAAACAGCTTTTAGATCCCTCCCTTGGACCTTACACTAGCCTTGGTAGTGAGGGATGCTGTAATACAATCTTGTAGATTCCACATCCCATGAAGGACTTGAAATCCAGTAACATCAATCCAGGATGTGGTGACCTACAACTCAGCTCCTTGGCCGAAAAAAGAATGCGAAGCTTACTGTGACTGAAGCTGGCGAGGGAAAGCAATGATATGACCAGGCAATGTTCTGTAATCGCCCGGAGCTAGTAGCATTGAGGGCACCAGAGCTCCGTACTTAAACCCTAAACCCAAACCCTAATACTATACCGGCAACATACGTGTCTAAAGACCAAAGGAGTGTATACATTGGATCATGGCAGCAGCAGCTTTTAGGGGGGGCTTCCTGGAATATATTTGACTTAAGCCTATTCATAAATTCTGAACCGTCCAACTATTCAGCCTAGCCTGTGGTTGTTGTTTTAAGTTCTTCCCAGGGCGCATCCAGGCGCTGACAGAACCCCTAGACCCAAGGCCCCAAATCCCCAAAAGCCCAAATCCCCCAACACCCCACCTGCTAAACCCAAATCCTCCACACCGAAATCCCCCGAAACCCAAATCCGCAAAGCCCAAATCCCAAACCCCACCCCAAGCTGAGGCCTTGAAAGCCCTGGAGCAGGCAGGAGAGTGGAGTTTGGCCCTCCTGCTACTTGAGGAGGTAAGAGTTCTTCCAAAAGAAATGCGGGCCATTTTGCAAGGGGACCTGCTGGAAATTCTATCTCCCCCTTGTGCTTCCCATAGATAGCTAGGGTACCTGAGTTACTAGGAGTATCCCTTTTTTCGGAACCTCGCCCTGACACCAGATGGAGAGTGAAGGCACGCTGGCGGATCTCATTAGCTGCTGGGCTTTTTGATTCTACGCTTTTGCCTTGCACTGGTGCTTACCCTAAACCCTAAACCCTAAACGCGTGTGCCCAACCCTTTTTTGGCTGAGCTCATTATCTACGTGTAGTTGGACCACAGGGTGAGGCAAGTATCTCAGAAAAGGAATTCGGGTTTTGGGTTTTGGATTTAGGGTTTTGGGTTTTGGATTTAGGGTTTAGGATTTTGCATTTAGGGTTTAAGGTTTAGGGCCACGACCCCGTTCTCAAGAATTTAAAGAAGCTCTTGCCAGGAAGTATGAAAAAGAAGATCTTAACCCAAAAGGGGAACTTACATTCCGATCATTTTGGGGACAGGTGACAGGTTTTCTGAACGACTATTATGTGGTACTTTTTCAGCATAGGGGGACCCCACTACAGATCCCAAAATAATATTGTTCTTACTAGGGTGACCCCCATAAAAGGTATCCCTAATTCCGGGAAATTCTAAACCCTATACTATGTAGCCACCAGGTTACAACACGTCTATCAGCGCCTGCGAGAAAGCGGGGCAATGGCAGCCAGCCTCCAGGCTTTTGAGTTTGGCGGCACCTGGGCCGTGGCTAAGGGACTGAAGGTTTACAGGGTTTCGGGGTTGAGGGTTCAGGGCCACATGGTACTCCCAGAATACCCATTCTCACCTCAGAATGCCCACTATACTCACACTATCCACTATACAGATGATACCCATCATACCCCTTCTTCATAATGCAAACATCCTCATGAACTGTAAGTTAGTGGAAGTGACCAAGATGGAAGTATTTACGTTACGAGGGGGTTTCAATTTTTTCCCACCCTACAATAAGGACCCTATAACTGCCACGTGATATAATCGGGTCCACACTAGGGGTCGGGTACGTAGAATATCCGCACTACGAATGATCCCACCTTTACGTCTGAGTCAGGTACGACAGCGCCTGCAGGCCGATATCATTTCTTACAGCGCCGCCATCAGTGCCTGTGAGAAGTGTGCAAAGTGGCAGCAGGCGCTTGCACTTTTTGATGAGGTCCAGAACCTCACCCATGCTTAGTTGGGGATTGTAGAGCGGATTCCTACAGTAGCCCCTAGATAACCACGGTCGATAACTGTCCCTATGGCCCCTTCTTCCTAAACATGAGAAAGGAAAACCTCCATGGAGATGGATGTCATCACGTACTGCGCAGCCATTAGTGCCTGCCAGAAGTCGGTGCAGTGGCAGGTGGTAGTTTCCCAAAATAGGGGGACTCTAATATAGACCCCCAACTACTATAATCCTTATTATGGGGAACCCTTAAAATGGTACCCCTAATTTTCGGAAACCCCCAGGTAGCTCTGGGCTTATTCCGAGAAATGCGCAGTTTCAAGCCCAGCATTGTGGCGGCAAATGCGGTCATCAGCGCCTTTGGAATGGCTAGCGAATGGCAGCGGGCACTGACGCAATTCCGCAGTAGCAGCTACACCCTGAAACCTGATGTCGTTACCTACGCAGCCGTGATGACAGCTCTGGAAAAAGCCAGCCAATGGCAAAGGACTGGGTTGCTCTTAAGGAGCTGAGTTCAAGTTACTATGATAAGGAAACCTTATTATGTACTATATACGCGCATTCTGGTAACTTAAGCCCTAAACCCTAAAACCCCAAATACCCATAATATGATAACTTAATTTAAGTTCCTTAAATCCCAATAGGGATCCACGGTTTCCATTCTATTTTCCATGTTCTTTTCCACTTGATGGTCCATTATAGGGGGGACAAAATATGGCAAAGAGGAGCCTGACCTGGCTCCAGCAACAGCTCCCAAAGAACCTGGTGAACATTGTGCTTTGGAACGCTGCGACTGGATTGCTGTTAAGGAGCTTGAACTAAGTTAGCAGAATAGGGACATATATATATATAGATATACTTATATATATATATACACATAGAGAGAGTGATATGTATGTGTGTATATATATACAGTAGAGTAGATGATGGGGTGTCCTAACCTCGGTAACTTGAATTAAGTTTCTTAACAGCAGCTCAGGCTGTGACTGCATGTGGGAATGCAGCACAGTGGAGCATAGCAATCTACCTGTTGGAGGAGGCCCAGGCAAGAATGCTGCAGCCGGATGTGGTGACGCATGACGCGGCGATCAGCGCGTGTGCGAATCTAGGTGGCTCCTGGCATGTGTTTCTTTAGGGTTTAGATAGGGTTTAGGGTTTAGGGCTCAGACCCCAGTATCCTGGTAAACTGCTGATTCTTGCAAGGGTTCTCAGCGCAGTGGAGGAATGGTATGGAATGGCAGAGGGCTGGGGCGCTGCTGACGAAACTTCAATCGACGGATGCTAGGCATAGCGCGGTGCGCGTTCTCACAATCTTTTGATGTTGCTTCGTCGTGTCCAGCATTGCGTCATGGCTCGATTTCTGGTTGAGGAGTCTTCGGTTCGGGGGACTAAAGTAATGTGGTGTGGTGCCCGAGTGATTCAAGTCTGTCTTCGACTAACAACGTTGGAGCCTGCCATTGTTGCAGCTCTTGTGGCTTCAGTCATGCGAGTGCAGTGCATGTACAGTAGTAGAGTAAGTGTCGTTTCAATAAGGCTGACCTTCTGCAAAGAACAGTCTAATGCACCCCTACCCTCTGGTCACATGCCGGTGCTTCTCTCTAAGAAGGTGCCTTGACCCCTGCAAATCACCAGGTCCAGCGTGGCAGCTTTCAACCAGGCATGTGTATCAGATAGACTTATGGGCTCTTGGCCTAGACTTGTAGGCGCTAACGAAGCTCCCTAAACCCATGTCCATGCCGCACTGCTTTTGCCCTCATAACAGGGTGTTAGATCCCAAACTCTATAATCTGAATGGGTTTGGGGTTTAGGGTTTGGGGTAGTTGTACCCTTATTCTCATGACTGAAGGACATGCAGATGACGGCCATTGCCTTCAATGCTGCAACTGGGTTGCTGTGAAGGACTTAATCTAAGTTACTATGCTGGGAAATCCTTTTAATCACTGTGTATACATACCCATTATGGTGACCCAAAACCCTAAACAAACCTTAAACCCTATATACCCTAAACCCTTTATACCCTTATATATACCCATTATGGTAACTTAATGAAAAGCCCTAAACCATATGAATTACTACTATGTATACCCATTTTGGTAAGCCCAGGCAATTACAGCCTGCGAGCGCGCCTCGAAGTGGGAGGCTGCTGTACAGCTGCCTGGCCTGGCTGGCATGGAGAATTAGGGGTATAAAGGGTATAAAGGGTTTAGGGTTTAGGGTAAAAAAGGGTTTAGGGTATAAAGGGTTTAGGGTTTAGGGTATTTGGGGTTTTGGGCTTTAGGGGTTTAGGGGTTTTGGGTGTAGGGGTTTGGGGGTTTAGGGGTTTTGGGGTTTGGGGTTGGGGTTTAGGGTTTTAGGGGGATTACAGATGGGTTGGGATAAAGGAAAAGAAAATGGAAACTATAGGTGATAGGGGCCAAGAAAATTTAAACTATAGGGAGTATACAGGGATTGTATAGGGATTTTGGATGGCAGAAGTCCTTACATTCGCATCCAAACAGAGTTATAATGAAAGTTATTATGCAAGGGCATTATTGCAGGGAATTAAAAAAAGTGTGTTCCCAAACGTATTTCGCAGGGCGCGCTGGTTGTAAAGCGTGTCAAAGATCTACCTGGATATGAAATGGCTGCTACAGGGTCATTGCGGTGTTACAACTGGGTATATGGTTTGGTACCCAGCACCAGTGGCCCTCGAAGCGTTTGAGAGGCAGTACTTCTAAACATGTATAAGCAGCATCAGTGCCATCGGCAAAGTTGTTCAGTGTGATCTTCAGGAAAGGGGGCCTGTACATTTTCCGTGTATTGTTGCCCTGAAACCATTTGCAAGGTTCCTGGACAGAGCTGACAGCCTCAGCGTTCTGACAGTGGTGACATTCAGCGCAGCGATAAGTGCTTGCGGGAAATCCAGCCAGTGGATTGCAGCTCTAGACCTCTTCAGCAGCATGGATAAGCGAACTCTGGAGGCCAACGTGATCACTTTGTCCTCTGCCATCACTGCTTGTGAGCGGTCCCTGAAGTGGCCTGAAGCACTTGTGCTGATCGCCGATGCTCTTTCAACTCAGCTGAAACCAAACACGATTGCCTACAGCGCGGCCCTTAGTGCTTGTAGTCAATCGTGGCAATGGGGAGCTTCCCTAGCACTCCTGGCATACTTTCAAAGGCGTGCCGTGCGTGCAGATGTAAGCACCATGGCTTCTGCTATAGATGCATGCGAATTCTCTGCCGAATGGCGTCAGACACCGGAGCTGCTACGGCGGCTGAACCGGGATGCATCATTGCAGATCCACGAATTTTCAACAAAATTGGGAGTTTCTCAAAACTAGGATCCCTCATAGCATAGCTCCTGAAACTCCCCGGTACAAATTGCCACCCGACCCGTCAGAGCTAATTAGCGTTTCCAACCGGGAGGGGGTGTCCCAAGAAAGGAATGGGTTGCTTCAGGGCGGGTCTGCTCAAGATTCCAAGCAAGGATCCACTTTAGTAAAGGCATCCAAGCAGGGGCCAAGAAACTCCCAACATCACAACCCAAAGGTGTGCGAAGTCGGCTTGCAAGAGGAAAAGGTGTGAACTTGGCTTCCCCCCTTTCAGTTCCGCTCACCCCACTTGCATCAGTGCACTGAAGGCCTGTCGGCTTGGGTGGGCTTAGAGTTCGCGGTTCAGCGTCCTTAGTATAGGGCTGGGGTCCACTAGCCATGAGCTTCAAACTATCCATTCTCTCTGTGGTGTTTGATGCTCTGGCTAGGCGAAAACAGTACATATAAAGGGCTACACGGACTTTTGGAGCTAGATCTCTAGCTGAACCTACAACCACCCGTGCCAAATGCGCGAGATGACGTTTCAAATCCCCAGAGCCCACACTCTCCTGAGTGTCCAAGTACCCAAATGACCAATAGTCTAAACTTCTTAAAGGGGGTTGTATACGGGATTATATAGGGGACTACAATATAATTAAGGGGGATATTAGGAGTGTAGACTATGGCTCAAATGCCTTGGAACCCTTTAAGTGGCTCCCTTTCCTGTTTTGAAGTCCGAAATCACATTGAGCCCTGGCATTTGCACAGTGTGTTCGTAGCTGCATGTTGCAACCCTAAACCCTATTGTTCGCAGTCCCCGAGTCACTCTAAACGGCTGTTTCGCATCTGGTCTGGCCCAGGTCCGATCTCTGGCAGCAGGTAACTCAGTCAACAGAGGTGCAGCGTTTGCACAAGGCCTCGGGATGTGCGGAAGGGGGGCGACTTTAAGTCCCGGTACGTTCTTATCTCTTTGCCGGGTGTCCCAGACCCAGCCCTTTTTTGAATGTCGGATCTGGGATGAGGAGTGGATGCTGGTGCCAAGAACCACTGCGCCCGAGAAGGGAGCAGATGTAAAAGTGTTGGGCATGTACCGTCTGGTATTGTCAGCATCATGGATGTTGTTTTGGTTTCTCGTCATGTGAAACCCCTGTTCTCGGAATTTCTGTAGGGCAAGAGAATTCTTAAGCACAAGTGCGCTGAGCCGTTTTTGATGTGCCGTGTCCCGTGCTTGTTCATGAGACAATGGACAGCTGGGCAGTGTAAACTCGTAGTTACATGACTCAAAATGGTGGACTTGCTGTTTATGGGCTAATCCCCGCGTGGCGTGGCTAGCCCAAGAGATCAGGCTAGCTGCCCCCAGTGAAGCAGCATTTAGAGCATCAAGAGTGGGTGTTTAGGCTTCTAGTGCCAAGCGCGGTGTTGTTTGAGATATGTTCCCTTTCAGCTTATCTCTTGTGAGAACTTTTTGTCTCGGGATAGTACATAGGCATCCTACTCCTGCTAAATGCGCGCTTATCAGTACCCTCAAGGGTGACGGCAGTTGACGCGCACACTTTCCTGGGCTATGCATGCAAAGTCATCATCGGAAGCATCCGCATACCAGGGTTTGGTCATAGGCCCCAGGGCAGCAAGCTTGGGGCCCGGTCGCATCTGCAATGCACTTCTATCCGTTCGCAGAAGTTACGTCGGACTTGTCTTTCCTGAAAATAGAGAAGCTCATGCATCTTGTCAACGGTTAGGAGTTATCATACAGCTACACATGGGTACACGACACAGCTGTGTCTGATATCTTTGAGCAGCCCTGCATGCAGGAATTCCAGACCACGATGGATTCATTGGCAGAGGCCGGTGCTGCTTCAGTGACCAGCCCCCTTTTGCCAAATGTTTGGCATGTCACTCATGCATACAAAAAGACGTCCAAGCAGAAATCTGCGGTGGCAATGGCTGGCCAAGGAACGGGGTGTTGCCATGAGTGTCCAAGTAACTATAGTAATCCCAAAGGGTCCATGTAGCTATATGGGGTATACCTGGGCCTTAAAGTAGGTATATGGGAACCCCTTTGGGCCCTAAGTATATACCATATACCTACATGGACCCTTTGGGGGCTGTTGTTCTGGCTCACAGGCTCATACTTGAATTTGGCGTTAGAAACCACAATCTGCATTCTTGGGCTAGCGTTGCTGCTAAGAGCTGAAAAGAATACGAATCAGCACAGACTCACGGAGAATTGGAAAGCTCATGCGATGTGTGATCAATAATCAATAATTTCAGAAAGTGCATCGCCATCATGGAGGGCTCTCCAACAACGTCGATCGTCGCCAGACAGATAGCATCACTACCTTGGCGTTACAATTGCATTGTAATGAAGATCTGATGGAGAGTAACATGGAAGAGCGCAGCACTGGGGCTGATGTTTTGAATTCAGTGAGTGTAGCTGGTTACAACTTGGGAAACACATTTGGCTGAGGTGGTGTGGTGCTTGACATGTACAACCCGAAAGATCACCTTTGCCCACTTACGCACAGAAGGCAAAGGTAGGCAGACATTCCAACTAGAAGCCCCGAGCTGTACAAGAAAGCCTGAGAAAGTGAAGCACCTGACCCAATTTCCAACAAGGCTCTAAACCCTTAACCCTAAGCCCCAAATACCTAATGGTAGTTTCCATTTTCTTCTCCATTCTTCCTATATTACCCCACTTTGACCTCAGCAGCCTGTAGTCCGTTTCAAAAAGGACTACATTAGGGTTTAGGGTTTAAGGACTACATATCAAAGACTTTACGGCTGGACATTAATCTTCATCTGCTGAACACTACCCCCCCACACTGAAGCCTCAGCCGCAAGCCCTGAACCCAACACCCCAACCCCGAGCTTAACAAGAGACCAATACTCAAGACCTACTTGGAGGTTCATGGGACTTAGTAACTACTTATAACTGGGCTTATAACCCTACTTAGAACCCCCCTAAATGGCCTTAAAGGGGTTACCCCAATTATAAGTAGGGTTATAACCCCAGTTATAAATAGTTACTAAGTCCCATGAACCTCCAAGTAGGCCATCATGTAAGCCCTTTTATCGCATGAAACCTTGATTTTGGAGGCCTTTGGGGTTCTGGGAGGCCAGTGAAACCGAAGCCCCACTCCCTAAACCCTAAACGCTCAAAACCCTAAACTCTAAACCACCGCCCTAAACCCCCTAAACACCCTAAACCCCTAATCACCCTAACCACCCTACACCCTAAACCCCTAAACGCCCTAAACAGCCTAAGCACCCTATACCCTAAACCCCCTAATTCACACCCCAAAGCCCTGCGCTGTGAAGCGTTATGGCTGCGCATTTGGGGGACAGCCAGGCCTTGGATTCCCGAAATGCGGAGTTGGAGAAGGCCAAACAGTTATTTTGTAGCAGCCTAAATACCAAAGGTCGGTTTAGGGCCGGTGTAGGGTTCAGGACCTAGGATTTAAGGTTCAGGATTTAGGATTTAGAGCTTGGGGATCCAAATTGCCCAATGTAGGTATTATCTACAGACCTGGATCCCCCAGGGTAAGTACCGATCGTTAAGTCTCAGAGTCCTTGTGTACTGATAGTATAAGGTACCTCAAGCAGACCTCAGAATGATATTGGTAACGAATCAGGCTTGTATCATACCCAATCACGAAAGGACCGTTATCATGCTGTTCAGCGCTTTCACATTGCGGAAGGGATTAATTCACATTCCCAAAGGGCCCATGTAGCTATATGGGTTAAACTAGGTATAGGGGAACCCCTTTGGGCCCTGAGTATATACCATATACCTACATGGACCCTTTGGGTTTGACAATTTTGCGGTCAGGAGCGTCTGGAAAATCTCAGGACACTTTGTAGCTGGTGCAGGGTTCAGATTTTTCAGTATCGATTCATGTTGCTTTCCAAGGCCACCGTGGAGTAGGTTGCATTTCGGGTTTAGGGTTTGAACCTGATTTTTTTGATTAAGCTAACCCAATTTGCCAATGTTTCTCTAGGGATCCCAAATAGCACAATACAGGTGACATGTGTAGACGTTGGGGCCCAATGCAGGTATGATTTATAGACTTGGATCATTTGGAACCGTAGGGATGATCTGGTTGGTAGCAATCGTCATGGAACTGGTCACGCCGACACGACGGAAAGCCCTTCTTGGCCTCAAAACATGTAAGTCTTACTGGGATATTCTGAAACAACATTCTGGACCGTATAATCCCTATAAAGCCATACAGGGATCAGTCTTTCTCGGGCCCCTAAATCCTTCCTAGCCCAAGTCCAGATCCTGAAGCCCTGCCGAGCTGCTTGTACATGGTTAGCGATGGCCAGGCGTTGGAGCAGAGGCTCACCGTGCAAAACGAGGCATTTCAGAACCCTTCTGATTGAAGTACCTTTCATATGGTGAAAAGTGACCTGCGTGTCACCTGCTTTGGGTCCAGACGGGTCCTATCGCAATACATCATCGGTTTTGAAGGCACCCGGAACAAGGCTCTTGCGTAGCTATTCTTAGGCCTAAAGATGTCCCATGTAAGTACGTGAATCCAACAGGCTTCACACCCAGCAGCGGGTACCATATTGGCTTAGGCATTCTTAAGTAACTTGCGGGCCTGTACGCATCCTGTTTCAGTAGTGAGCTTGGGGCTTGCTACTGAAGGAGGCTCTGCCATGCTGCCAGGGTTTAGGATTTAGGGTTATGAGAGCCTGCTTCACATGACATGTTTTCAGGCGTTGGGACATGCTGATGAACTCACTAAGCAAGCACGCGGTTTGTTTACGGGAGCTACCTTGTCCAATGCATGCAGCAACTTCTGCCGTCTAATGTTGAGCAACATCACATTGTCGTGCCGAAAAAAGCTTGACCTATTCAATAGGACATGTTAAGCTCCTGATTGGGGAGCAGGTTAACAGTGTACGAAGAAGCCCTTCAACACTTGTGCCCTTTTTGGGGCTGCAATGCGAACCTCTCGCCCTACACATTGCGCCCACAAGGTTGTATGATTGTCGGGGCGGCTCCGGGAACACAAATTCAGCGC